GGGCGCTGTGAGTGAGTGGGAACCGAGTGGGGCCGTACGGGGCAGCCAGAGGGTTTCCTGTCACACCTCCTCGCCTGGCAGAGCAGAGGGTGGCAACCGCAAGTTTGGGTTTGTATTTCCCAAGAGTGAAATTCATTACATTGGATGTGGGTTTAGGAGCTAGAAGCTTCTACAGGCAAATCCCTTCGCCGATGCTGGAGAGCTCTGACAGCTGATCCCTGTGAGCTCGTTCCTTTGACAGTAGTTGAAAAAACGTATGTTTGTTGGTTTTATTGCGTTGTCATTGCTGCTTCCTTTTTTCTCTGAGGTCCCAATTCAAAGCGGAAGTGTCTCTCTGCTGGTTTTGTCTGTATGTGCTGAATCAAACCTGTTTGTGGTTGTCAGCAGCAAGGAGCGTTAAGGTGAAAGAGCTTCTTTCGTGAGAACATACAGTACCACTACAGCTCACAGTCTACACCTTAACTGTATGGTATTTTGACTGTTTTTTGCTAAGCTCTGGCTGGAATGACTGAAGACGTTCCTCAGTCTGGCTGGATGCCTCAATGGCTCCAGCACAAAGTGCATGTTAGAATTGTCTTGGCCTCTCTGTATTTTTCCTTATACCTGCTAGGAAAGAGACTGTAGTAAACAGAGAAACAACTGCATGATTTATTGGATTTTGTTTCAACATTTAGCATTCTGATTCATTCTGTTCATTTGTGAACAGATCAGTTGCAACTTTGTGTAGCAGGTCCTAGTATTCAACTGACTTGTTTGCATGTACTTTGAAAATCTAATTCTAGTTGTTTTGGTTTTTTTTTCACTGGATGCTATGATCATTTCACCATTTCGTGTTTTTTTGGTCCTTAGAGAAAGCCAGTAGTGCTGACAGGAATGGAACTGGGCTCTTGCACCACGAAGTGGACAGTAGATTACTTGAGCCAAGCTGAAAGACCTAAAGAAGTAAAGATTCATGTTTCTGCGGTGCCACAGATGGATTTCCTCAGTAAGAACTTTGTGTATAGGTACTTAATTATAGGTCTTTTGTATTTTAAAGGCATGTGCTTATAACTTTAAGACCTATAGAGCATGTGATTGAAGCTGAGAGTGGAAACATGAAGATACTTTGCATAGACTTTAAATTATGTGTCAAGGTGCTGTTCTTGATTTCCCCCTCATCTTTTCATTCCACAAATATCTCAACATCCTGAATAAATACTACAGGGATGGAAAGGAGGGACCAAACAGGGACATAGAAATGAAGAAATGTTGTAAAGATACTTTGATGGAGTATTCTTGTATGAAATACTAGCCTGGTATTTGCTGGTGTTACTAAAAGAAAAAATAAAACAAAAAAATCCCAAATGCCTTGATACTAGGGGATATGCTATTTTGTTCTAGTTACATGATGCTTTCTCAGTGTTACTAAATAGTTCTAGTTTCTGCCTCACTGTATGTCTGAACCTTGCTGAATACTGGGATGTGGCAGGCATGCTGTTCCACTCTAGAGAGGTGTTACTAATTAAAACCAAGCCTCTTACAAAGTTAGCATGTGCATTTCTCAGAAAGTTCAAATTGCTGTATAGCACACATTTTGTCAGCTCTTTGATCTCGATGTGGGTCACATAAAGTCTTGATCTCCTCTGAAGTTCCTCTCATGTAGCTGCCAAAACATTTCTTCAGAGTTCAACTAATCTAGTCATTGCATTGTTCTGCAAGGTTAAATGTCTTTATTTCAGTTATTGTTTTATTTCCCTAAGTTCTGTTGTTCAAATGTGTTTGTTCTGTTAAACTTATAAGAAGACAGGAACATATGCTCTAAACAAGCTACAAGTCTATGAGTGGAGCTTGTTGTTCAGGGGAAAACAACACCTTATAGTCACACTGTATTCTGCTCACTGCATAATGAACTTTTGAATCTTTGGAATTAGGTTATACATGAATGACTTCACCTCATCTTCATTTTTATTTTCCCTGCTCTGTTTTTTTTCTTTATTATAATATCCCTTGCTGTGAATTGACATATGGTTGATCTGGTGTGCCAGTTTTAGCAGGTTTGTAGACAGCCATATGGAGGTGCTCTGATGGTGCTTTATCATAGGAGGTGTAAGGGCTTTCATCTACTTCACTTGAAATTCAGAAGACTGACCCTGTCCATAGCAAGTGCCTCATTCTAGTATGAAGAGAGAATACGTAGAAATAAAAAAACACTGAGGACTTAACATGCAGTTCAATGATTTTGAACTGATAGATGTGAGTAGCACTGCAGTCCTGGTGTAAGCTCTATGTTCCTAACCTGTTTTTCTGTTGATTTGCTAGCAGGTTCACCATGAGGTCAGATGAGTGCCAGTGCTAGTGTAAGGGAAAAGGTGGGATGAATAGGGTAGACAGCAAGAGCAGAACTGTGGCAGCACCAGTATGCATCCGTTTAAGCTGTTACAGAGCTATGATCTCACTTTTTTCAGCAGCAAATGTAAATAGGCATGATACAACAGTTCAGCTGAAGACAGAGGGTTGGTTTTGTTTGTTTGCTTTTCTGTTTGTATTTGAGATGCCTAAAATGTTTAGAGAAGTGATCTAAGCATTGTCAGATGTAGGTTGCATTCTGGTAGAAGGGATAAGCAAAGCCCAATGGGACAGTGGCTTGGGCAAACTGCTGCAGTTTACCCTGCTTTTGGTAAGGGGATTCACCTGGCAGGTTTCCAGAGATGCCTTCCAGCCTCACCAGTTACATGATTCTGTTTAGAACAATTGGAATAATTTACTAAAGCAGAGAGGTTTGTAAGGGTAGGATTTCTGTCTTGATAGAATTCTTCAGGCATCCACTGCAAACACTGATTAGTCACCATGTTAAAATAATAATAAAAAAAAAAGCAGCAGCATATTGCATCTTTAGTTATACTAGATATGGTAAAAAAGCTTAAGAATTTAAACCTGGCATTTAGATCAGAGTCACAGAGTGGTTGGGGTTGGAAGGGACCTCTGAAGATCATTTAGTCCAAACCCCTTCTAGAGCTGGATCACCTACAGTAGATCACACAGGAACATGTCTAGATGGGTTTGGAATGTCTCCAGAGAAGGAGCCTCCATAACCCGAGCAGCCTGTGCCAGTGCTCTGTTACCCTCACAGGAAAGCAGTTCTTCCTGATGTTTAGCTTGAATATCATGTGCTCCATCTTCTGCCCATTGCCCCTTGTCCTGTCACTGGGCACCACTGAAAAGAGTCTGTTCCCATCCTCCTGACATGTGCCCTTTAGATATTCATAAGCATTTATGAGTTCCCCCCTCAGACTCCTCCAGGTTGAACAGCCCTGGCTCTCTCAGCCTTTCCTCATAGGGCAGATGGTCCATTCCCGTCGTCATCTTATTGGCCCTATGCTGGACTCTCTTCATGTCCTTCATGATCTGGATGCAGTGTTCCAGATGAGGTCTCACGAGGGCAGAGTAGAGGGGTCTGTCAGTCTGCTGGACACACTGTTCTTAATGCACCCTAGGATTCCATTTGCCTTGGTCACAAGGGCACATTATTGGCTCATGGTCAGCCTGTTGTGCACCAGGACCCCAAGGTCCTTTTCCCCAGAGCTGTTCTCCAGGAAGTCATTCCCCAACCTGTACTGATACATGGGGTTGTTCTTCCCGAGATACAGTTCTTCCCTAGATGCAGTTTCTATCCCCATATGTGGAAGTTCCAAACCAGAAGGAAAGGCTGGAGGTCATGGCAAAGAGAGGGCAGAGCAAAGAGGCAGCAGGGGCCTGTACAGCAAGAAGTGGAGCTTTGCCGTCAAGGGGCAGCTGAGGTGACAGTGAGTGGGTTCTGGGCTGGAAAAACCCATGTGCATATTGATTCATTGTATAAATTTAAATATTTATCTTTCAGAACTCTGCCTTTTGATGTATTTGTACGAAGAGCAGCTGAAGTCAAACACAAGGAGTACTTTCTTTCTGAGGTAATTTCCTTAGTGATACAGTTACTTATATTTGTTATTTTGGCAGTATATGGAGGGGAAAACGATGGTTTGGAATGTAAAGTCTTCAGTAAAGCACTTCATCTTAGATTTAACTGTTTTGCATGGCTTGCAGCCATGCAAGATGTGAGGAGAAGATATTTTTTCTTGGAAATTGCTTTCTGTGTTCATAGTGTAGTTAACTTCAGTGGTCCTGTTCCTGTTAACAAAAACTGCTTACATGAAAAAAAATTCCAGCATAAAACTGAGACATGAAACCTCTCTTCAGAATGGTAACTAGCATTTAGGTGTTTTGCAAGAAAAAATAATGAATATATGTTTGATTGCATCTTCTAGGAAAATACAAACACAGATTTATTGAAATGTAATTTGTGTGGCAAATGCATGGCTGTCTTTCTGCAACAGTAGTCAAACTAGGGATTTTTCGGGTAACTGTGAGTAGGATACAAACGGTTTTGAATGCAGACACACGCCTTACCTTTTATGCTGCATGGAAGTTTTGAAGACAATTGAATTAGCTCCCTGCATCAGTATTCTGAAGAATTTAAATTCTACTGAAGAAAAGCATTTGCTTTGAACCTGTTCAGTGACGGCAATGCTAAAGCAGTTGACAGGTCTCCCCCGACTTCATTCTTCTACTCTCAGTTAATTAATTTTCCTCATTCTTGAGGTGAACAGCAGGGAGCACTAAAGGCAGTAAACCTAAGGAGCTGAATTCCTAAATGCCATTTATTTGTACCGTGTTCTAATAAAGCCTTGCATTAGATTAATGAGAAAACCAGGCTCTTTGTTTAAATGTTTTTGTAATTAATTAAAAAAAACCCCAACAATTCTCTTTTTGTATTCTCTTTAGGATGAGAAGTACTATTTGCGATCAGTGGGTGAAGATGCTAGGAAGGTGAGTTACTTGACATCACAGTTCCAATACTGTAAAGTAACATTTTAGGAATGTTTAAAAGCCTGTTCTCATCTGCTGGCTGTGTAGTACAGGCATACAACTTGTTTATGGTCACTTTTCCTGTGAATTTAATTGGATTTAGATCAGAATATTTCAACTAGAGCATCTGAAATAGTTGCTGATATACAAGAGCTTAGCTGATAACTGAAGAGTTATTCCTCACCTCTCATTCTTTAGCTTTTTTTGTAAACTAATATACCAGGATTTTTGATCATCTCTTACAGCTTCAGTGTGATTCCTAGCAGGAATGATTCACAGCAGATCCCTGGCTATTCTGATACCTTTGACCAAGTCAATGCTGAAAGCGTGACCACCAAAAAACTTTGCTATTTTCAGCTATTTGCCAATACTGAAGCTCTAGCCCTGTGTTTCATATGATGGTACATGGTAGTGAAGTGCTCCCTTAATTTAGTGTGCATATATGGTTCTCTAAGACTTATGTCCTTTTTGTTTCAGGATATTGCAGATATCAAAAAGCAGTTTCCTGTGTTGGCCGAAGATATTCAGATTCCAGAGTATTTTGAGAAGGAACAGTTTTTCTCTAGTGTCTTCCGTATCAGCTCAGCTGGATTACAATTATGGACACATTATGATGTAGGTAATACGTGTGTTATGCACAAAATGTTGCAGATGGCATTACCAAGTTGAGATATTAAGGTGCAAATCTCCGAAAAAGATCTGTTTATGACAAACTTCACATATTTTGAAATAGTGAAATTAATCATATTCAGTGGTACAGTGAATTTTAAATAGAAGTATTGTGTGGGCATGATATCTTACTTGTTTTACGTCTAATTCCATACTTGTCATATTAAATTATGTTTGATTTTTTTCCTTTTTTTTTTTTTTTTTTTTCTTTTTTTTTTTTTTTTTTTTCTTTTTTTTTTTTTTTTTTTTCTTTTTTTTTTTTTTTTTTTTCTTTTTTTTTTTTTTTTTTTTCTTTTTTTTTTTTTTTTTTTTCTTTTTTTTTTTTTTTTTTTTCTTTTTTTTTTTTTTTTTTTTCTTTTTTTTTTTTTTTTTTTTCTTTTTTTTTTTTTTTTTTTTCTTTTTTTTTTTTTTTTTTTTCTTTTTTTTTTTTTTTTTTTTCTTTTTTTTTTTTTTTTTTTTCTTTTTTTTTTTTTTTTTTTTCTTTTTTTTTTTTTTTTTTTTCTTTTTTTTTTTTTTTTTTTTCTTTTTTTTTTTTTTTTTTTTCTTTTTTTTTTTTTTTTTTTTCTTTTTTTTTTTTTTTTTTTGTTCTCTTTTGAGTTTCAGTCAAAAGTCTGAAACACAGTTAACTGTCAACATTTTCGTCTTCCAAGATTACCTCATTTTTTTATTCTAATGGCCCAATTATTGGTAATTGCACAATGATTTGGGTGGTCTGTTGCCACAATGTGGTAGATTCCAAATAAGATTATCTTCTAACATGGCACGGTGTAATTCTGAATAAATTTATTTATATGAAAGATAAGGTTTTGCATTATAATTAGGAAAAAGAATCCTTTATCAATAGAAAGTCAGCAAAATGATCTAGAAGTAACACTGACAAAAAAAGGAATCTGAAATATATTTTTCATTGTATTTTCCTGGTTTTATGTCTGAAGTATGGTATGTCTGTGTTTTAAGATGGAAGAACTTGATTCCTATTTAAGAAAATACTCAAAGTTTTTGAAAAGCAGTATTGTGTTCCCATATATACTGTCAAGAATGTGCAGCAAAGGGGATAAAATAACTCACATTCTGGAGTATTTAAGATTAACTGTATGTGAAAGCTCTTTTAGCTAATTCTTAGAATGTGAAGATTTTAATAATTCCCTTTTTTAAGCTGATGGTATTTTAGATTAGTTACAGGCTACGTATTCATTCTTAACTGTTGGCTGACATCTCTCTTGCTATGCTTATTCCAGGTAATGGATAACTTCTTAATCCAAGTAACAGGGAAAAAACGAGTTATTTTGTATAGTCCTAGAGATGCGCCATATTTATATTTATCAGGTATGTATGTCAGATTTCTCGTTCAAAGTCTGGTGATCATAGTTGCCTTTCCAGCTCACAAGTGTTGCACTGTAGAAAAAAAAATCATATCAGACGTCTTGATATAAAGGAAGTAATTTGGTCCTATAATTCTGATGTGTTTTGCTTTAGTCAAACTAACCATTTGAGCAGGGCAGGTGAGGAAATTTGCGAAGGAGCACAGCACTTTGCTGGGTTCTGTTTTCAGCACCTAACTGTGGAGGAGTACAGTGCTCTGGATTCAAAACAGCTTTTTAAATATCGGGAAAATGTGTTTTAGTGCTAATAAGTTTGCGGTTACAGGAGAAATATAGACAACAGGAGAATATGTCTCTTCAGTAAATAAGGAGTGCCATCAGGTTTGCTCGGTTTTAGGAAGAATTACAGAGCAATGAGCTAGTATTATAGCTGGTTCAAGAACTGCTGTTTCCAGCAACATGGTAATGCTTTGTTACTGTTTGCAAGAGTAGCAGTGCTTACTTTTGAAAACTTTCCTAGGTACTAAATCAGAGGTGCTGGATGTGGATAACCCAGACTTTGATAAATACCCTCTTTTTGTGAAAGCCAAGCGTTATCAATGTTTTCTAGAAGCAGGAGATGTGTTATTTATTCCAGGTAAGTGACAAATAGTTCCTGACCATGTTACGTTTTTTTAAACAGTTTTGTTTGCAATTCTCATTTCTAGGGATGGTAAGATGTTACTAAAGCATTTCTGTGTTGTAAGTAGAAGCATCTAAAGACGTTGGCAAAACTTGTCTACTTCTAACTTTACTAATTAGCCTAATAACAGGTATCATATCTGCATACAAATGGTATCTTCCCTCACAACTGCACTGTGTGCTTCTGAATTTGTCTTAATAGATTAGCACTATAAAATTAACTTGTGAAATCTGAAATTACTGCAGCGACCTGAGTTTTCTAATGACAGAATTTGAGTGAAGTACCATTTCTGTTGATCTGTAGCTCTGGCACGTAAGAACTGTAAGGCATGTGACTGATGAGAATTATAGCTGGTAGAGTTATTGGACCTTCTAGAAATTTTGAATCACCTTTTGGGAATGAGAAAGCAAGTCCTAATAATACTTCTGCACAAGCTAGAAATACAAAGATGCTTCCTGGGCTGAGATAACAATTCTGCTGATAAGAGAAAGTAATTTATTTATTCCTATTGAGCTATTCATAGTTCATACTATTTTAAAATTTTAACTCATCATGAGCGTGTGGAAGATTATGTTGCTTTTTGTATTATCTGGGCAATATAAACAGGCCAGTAAACAAGAAGGCAATAGGTTTTTAGGAAGATTTAAACCTCAGCCTTGGACTTGTTATTTAATTTTTAACTTACCATTTGTCTCTTTCTAAAGAAACTTTTGGTCACAACTGTTGAAAGGTCTCACTGTTGCTAACTTCAGCAAGTGTAATTTCAGTTTTGTTCTCTACAGTACAGATACTAGTTTGTCTTTGCCAGTAGGTGTGCTTGTCCAAACTTAAGAGACACTCAACGATCTTAAGAATGACTGGGGAGTATAGGGGTTTTTGAGAATGTTGCTAGCTTTGTCAGCATTCTAGAAGCCTTATCACTGGAAAAAGAGATGTTCTCTGGGGAATGTGAATGGTTATTATGGAAAAAGTAGAAGCAAACCCTCTTCTTAACCTTGAAGAAACTTCTTTTTAATTTCTCAGGATAAGCTTTTCTATGTCTTCAGCACATAAAAGCAACTGAGCTGCAGTAAGTACGGCATTCAGCCCTTTTTAGTTAAAATTGAAATTGAGTAAATATACCATATTAAATTTATTTTATAAATGTACTTGAAAAGGCAAAAATGTCTGCTTCCTTACCACAGCCATGATGATTCAATTGAAAAGCCTTATCACAGAATTGCTGGAGTTGGAAGTGACCTCCAGAGATCATCTAGTCTAACTCTCACTGAAGCAGGATAACTTAGAGCACATTACACAGGGCTGCATCCAGGCAGGTTTTGAATATCTCCAGAGATGGAGACTCCACAGCCTCTCTGGGCAGCCTGTTCCAGTGCTCCATCACTCTCTGAGATCTGTCACACAGCTCTCAATCCACCTCACTGTCCACTGATCAAACCCACTCTTCCTGAGGTTCCTGATGAGGATTTTATGGGAGACAGTATCAAAAGCCTTGCTGAAGTCAAGGTAGATGAAATCCACTGCTCTCCCCTCATCTAGCCAGCCAGTAATGATGTTATAGGAGGCAATCAGGTTGGTCAAGCATGATTGCCCTTGGGTGAATCCATGCTGACTTCTCCCAGTGAAGTTCTTTGCTTTCACGTTTTGTGATGACATCCATAATAGTTTTTTGTAACACCTGCCCAGGGACTGAGGTGAGACTAACTGGCCTATAGTTCCTTGGGTCCTCCTTCTTACCCTTCTTGAAGACTGGAGTGACATTAGCCTTCCTCCAGTCCTCAGGCACCTCTCCTGACTTCTCTATGAAAAGATTAGCAACCTGCATGGGTCAGCTGGCTGATGCCAGTGGTTTACATTAGTGCTTGGACAACCTGTGCAAGGTTAGGGACTCAGTCTATGAAAACAGATATTTGCATTCAGAGTAGAGATTAGCAAGGTGAACAGGGAAGATCCCTTATTTTCATCCTACATGTGCTTATCATTTGCTTGCATTTGAGTATCTCTTTATACTTCAGCAATTGCTACTTTGTGTGAAGTTATAGATTGACGTAAACATTTTGAAGAATGTCTTATATTTGGTACAATGCAGTGTATTCAGGCATGATTCAGTTTGGGTGATTCTGACACTGGTTATGGGTCATGTGGAAGTTTCAGATAGTATTTTTCATTTTAGACATTTCTCTTCCTACAGCTTTGTGGTTCCACAATGTAATTTCTGAGGAGTTTGGAGTGGCACTGAATGTCTTTTGGAAGCACTGACTCCTACGATAAGAGTGACACTTATGGAAATAAAGATCCCACAGCAGCCTCTAGAGCTATACAGATCTTGGACAGGGCCTTGAAAACACTTGAAGAGCTACCTGAAGAATATAGAGATTTTTATGCTCGGAGAATGGTGCTACGCATCCAAGAAAAAGCCTATAGGAATGATTATGGATAAAATAACACTTAATTCAGCTTCTGTGAAAGCAGAGAATTATATGTTAATATGGAAACTGTCCATGTGTACATATGCAAACTTTCTCTAAGACAAATATAAACTATGTTGATAAACTTTGTTATAGATAAATGTTTATCTTGTGGATTTTTTCTTATTTTTTTTCTTCACGTGCAGCAGCTGCGCAATCTTCTTCATCTGGAGATGGTCTCTCTTCTACAACAAGGCATACATTTGCAGTTCCTGCACTTACAACTCTACTTTTTGGAGTGTTCTACTTAAATTTTTCTGAACACAAGTGTGGGCGATCAGCTATGTGCCGCAGGTGGCCTTGATCTCAACAAACTGTGGCTGTATCCTTCACTGTTAGAGATAAACAAGTTTGAGGGAAAGAAGGTATGTGAGATACAGATGTGTGTTGACATTCTTGTAAGAAAATGTAAGAAGCTTGTAGCCTATCATAGAATAAGATAGAACATGTGAACAGAAGCTGTTAACAAATAGGAAGGAAGCGTAAGGTGCCTGGACAGGAGAGCAAAGTATAAAAATGCAGTGTAACCCATAATAAACTGCAGATGCTTGTGACCATCATGGTGCGTCAGCTGTGTGTCTGCTGCACACAAGTTTTGCTATCTGGGCTGGGCCTAGGAAGCCACTGGTGGATTGGTGGTGGATCTAACTGTCATGGTTTATTTTTGAGTAATAGCTTGCTCCCTCTTGTGGTGAAACTGAGGTGAGAAAAAAACAAAGCTAATCATGCAAGGTTATAAGCTTAGAATTGTTGAGCAGCTTGACCACAAGGTAAATGATTTAGCCCTTTTCTAGCTGAACATGCTAATGTGCAGGAAGCCTTGTTTGTCACTGCCCCAGGACAGTCGGGTGGCATTGCTGTTTCTGCAGCTGTGAAACTCCTGCAACTTTTGTCTGCAAATCTGTATAGCTACAGTCCTAGAATCTGAAATGAGGTTCATAGTTCTGGAGTAGTTGTAGAATTGATTGGGAGAATCTACTGGTGTTTGAGATGCTTTGTGTTACCATATTAAAGGGGGTTGCATCACCTCTTTTGGGATGAAGCCTGTTGTAAAGGGACTGTAGATGGTTACCTTTTAGCAAATTTCAGTGCTTACAGAAGTCTTGTGAAGTAAGACAGACATCTCATAGAAAAGATAGGTTGTCATTGTCCCTTTGAAATCTCTCTCATGTTACTGCATTTGCTGTTTGGGAAATAAAGCATTTATCTAACATTTGGATCAGTGTTACTTCTAGCAGTGTTTTTTGAGAACTGTAACTTCTTGTCAAAGCTCTTACATTAAATAGATACGTAGTGTTCATCAAGTACTGGAAAAAACTTTCTCCAGAGGAGCAAGGGCTTGCAACACTGTGCAGATTATTCTTCTAAACCTTTTTGGCAGTTCAACACAGTGAAAATAGTCTGCTACCATGTGAATGGGCACTCAGCCATCTTAATTAATGGGCCTGAATGGAGCCAGCCAAGCAATTCTGATGGGCACCATTGTACATTCTGAGGGTAGAATTTAAATTTGGGATCACAAAGAGGTCTCCCAAAATTCTTATTTGAAAATGAACAAGGATTGCTTGTGCATACTGCTGAGCCAGAATCTCTGTCTGTTAGGCTGGGGAAGTCTCTTGACTTCTTCGGACCTGTAATGTTGAGGGCCCCATATGAATTGTTCTGCAGAAGTGTACAGAGCTTATTCTTCATGTGTTAGCACTAAATGGAGAGGCTCAGAGAACCTGCAGGGCTAGACAAAGCTGTGTTCCAGCATTGTGCCTGCACAGCTATCTCTGTTAACTCTTAACTGCCAGCACTTTCTCAATATGCTAGTACAGAGAATTACTGTGCTGATCACTCATTCTACCATTTCTTGATTCTCTATTCTCAGAAGAGAGGTGCTAGCTTGATGTTCTCAGGCCCCCTTAACACTCAAGTATAAGTAAGGAGAGCTTCCTGAAGCAGCAGTTGTATGAGGAATCTGCTTATGTCTCAGCTTCTGAGAAGTGCCTGCTGTGCTCTGGAGGAAGGCTGAGACCCATTTAGAGCTCTGGGGGAGAGGAGAAAGTATAATCCAGTGGGTCAGATGCATTCACTGCTATGCCAACCTCATGGTGATACTAAGATTTTCATTAATAGCTTTCTGGGTTGAAAAGTGAACAAAATTTGTTTTAATTATTAGTGATAGGGGAATATATATATATGTATTTATAAAGGGATGTGCAACACCTGACCCCCTCCCTCCTCCCCCAGCAACTCTCACAGCAACTCTTCCTTCTGGTGACTCCCGGCTTCGGGCACAAGGATGGGGTCCTCAGATGTTGGCTGTGAAGAAAAATGGAAAAAACCAATAGAGGCAAAGAGAGGGCTATAGAAGTGAGAGTAAGCAGAAAAACAGAAAAAGGAAACCAGAGGCTTGACTTCCATGATGTCTTAACCTATACTGAAAGCCAAATAGAGAAAATATTATGAGAGAAGAATATTCTGATTTGCTGTTCCTGCCTTCAGTCTAGTCTACTCCCCCATGGGGGGGGGGAAGCTGCAGACATGAGCTTCAGAAGCATCCTTGGTTGTTATCAGCCCACTGGCACTGCTAAAAAAGGTTCACTAAAAGGAAAAAAAAAAATCAGCAAAGAGAAAATTCACTCCACCCTAGCTCAAACCAGGACAATTTTGTAAGGGAGGCTATTAAACTATTAATCTAAGCACTTTAGGCCAAATGCAACCCTCAGTTGCAGTTATTAGTGCTGAGGTAGCCCAGCAGGAAAGGTGCAATAATTCACTTGTTTAGGCTAGTGTGAAGTGTTTATCTGGCTGGGAAGAGGAAGTCATGCCGTTGCACTTGGGACACATTTAATTAAGCAAGTGCAGCTATTTCCTCTTCACAATACCAAGTTTAAAATGAAGCCTTAATTTTATTTTCATATGTCAGCAAATGAGGTTATCTCACCCTGATAAGCTGGTGGATAACCCAGCCCTGCTCATGCTTTTTTTCCAGTGTTGTATGAGAAATGTCTGCAGTGATAGTGAGTTGGGTTTTTTTCCTCACCATGACCCCTTTGGTTTTCACTTCTTTAAGACTGCCAGTGAAACCCACCAGTTGTGATGTAAGTGCATATTCAAGAAAGAACAACAAAAACTGTTCTATGTAGATGTTCTGTGTCTAGCAGGAAGACAAGCACAGTGATTGTTCTCTCAGCACCACCCTTTTTTCACCTTGAACCAGCTTAATTTTTTTAATTTCTATAATACAATTGTTCTGAAATACTATAAAAGAAGAAACTAAGCAGTTTAAAAACATACTTTCTTAATTTGAACATAATGTGACTGACTAGTGATAAAAATCTTGAGTTACTGTGTTAAAAAAACCCATAAATTACTCATTGCTTTCTAATCACTGTGTTACATGGTGTGAAACAGGCAATAAAGTGATGAATGAATGAATAGTGAAAGCATTAAAGGAATAACTTCCAAATAACACAGTGAAAGAGTATGTGTAGCTACATTAGAAAAATCATTACTGAAATAACACAAAGAATTAGAGCCACTGACATTTGTGGAAGTTTGTCCTTTTAGAGACCCAAACCAAAATGGGATTGTCATAATAAAATAGATGAAGTTGTGGCAACAGGAATTAGGAAATTTGACACTGACCATCTTAAGCATTCGAACCAGCCACATCAAACAGTGTAGTCAATAGAGGATCCAGACTGCCCAGGACTGAAAGATGAGTTAAGATATTTAAATCTAGACAGTATCTGAAAGCAGCAGTTTAAACTTGGCCTACCTCAAACTTTGACTCTAAAAATTCACTGAGGCTTTTAATATTTAAGTTAATTGCAAATCAACACCTGGAAATAATTATTTATGCTTGGATGTATGAAAAAGGATGGAAAATAATTTCAGAAGATAAATATGTTATACATTTTTCTTAATGTGGTTGCTGTGAATGAAAAATGAAATTTTTCAAATGAAAAAACTGATGTCAAAATATTTTCTTGTCAAACTATTAAATAGGTCAATAAAAGTCTGCCTGACATGCAAGTGCTGAAGATTGGCTGTATCTAACTTAAGAATGTTTTCTTTCCAGGAGCTACATAGAGTCTGAGTTCTCAATACAAGTGTCAAGTTCATAATGTGAAAGTGTTTGATTTGATCATGAAGGTTCAAAAATATATTTGCAATCCTTTTTAAATATGCAGGATGAAACTGCCTCATATTCACGCTGTTAGACCCACAACAGGACTTTTTTTTTCCTGGTCAAAATACATCTTCCCAAACCTCAGACTCTGAGATATTTCCATGCAGACAACATAGGTGTCAAAAGACACACATTCTGAGACAGTAACTTATGCAAGGAATTCTCCAGAAGTTAGTATCACTCAATAACCACAGATTCTGTTGTTACTAGGACAGATGAAATGGTAATTTTTATTTGGACAGTTATATAAGTTTGCAGTAAAGTTGCCTGTTCAGATTTTCTATGTTGTTTTGGGTCAGACTCTAGGGGTGTGGATAGATTCTGAGCTCTGTATGTGTTAATTCCTGAGAGTAACAATCTCATTTAAGTGGCAATTCCTGAGAGCAACAAGAGCTGATTATTTCCTTTTCACTAGTTAGGATCTGTTCCTAGTCAACATTTTTAAGAGTGGATTGCAAATATTAAAAGAACTGCTCAACCATGTAAAATGTGCAACTCCACATGCAATGCCATGTTCGTACAAAAGTGCTCAGAAGCCATTGCTTGCAGTAATAACACAGATCACAGAAATTGATAATTTTTGCTGTGAAAACATTTATACTTCAATTGTCAATAAGTGCATGAATTGCCTAAAACTTCCATCACACAAAATCAACACGTTTCTCATGATGGAGAATGAGGAAGAAGAGCTATGCACGTACCCCATAAGGGATGCAACAGCTTTAACTGACACCCAGGCTTAGGAGTGTTACTCAGAGGATAAACTCTGGTGTGGAAGCTGTGCAGAACCTTGTTTTGCCCTTGTGCACTGGTATGTCTCTTGACTGTTTTCTGTGTCTAGCATCAGTGCTTTCTTTAGGAAAGGCACAGCTCTAAGTGCCAAGCTTAATAAAGGAAACTAAGAATCATGACAAAGTGCTCTCTAGAAGCTTACTGAAAAAGGAGGAAAATTAATTCAGCATGTTGAAGTAGTGGCATTCTGCTCGGAGTACCTTAGGTGTTTATACACATGAATTAAAACTAGATAATAATATGGTTTTCCCTCTTATTCTTGTAGATATTTTTCTGGTGCTTTGTTTAAGCACTTCTTGGGTAACTTCAAAACATGTAATGAAGCCGTAATGACAGGAAATGACAACAAAACTATCACTACTTTATAACCCACATAACACTATATGCAAAATTACAGCCTAAATCAGTTTTTCATGTTTTCTGCAGTGATGTGGAACAGCTAATCCCGGAAAAGTGGGGTTTTTTGTGAATTATACTGTTAATACTGATAAAATTAATGTAGTCAGGAACAGTATGTCTGGCAGTGGGAGGAGTGCCCGTCTCTGCCATGTGGATGTTCTATGATCTTGGACTACCTGCTTAATGATTTCATGGTAATTTATTTTTCACAGTTGACACTGACTTTCTTCAAATAGCTTAAAAATAACCTGTTGGGAAAACTAGAGGGCATGATCATGCACATTCACTTTTATCTGTGAATATCTACAGTTGTAACATCCCAATTTTTGAACTGGCTTTGCAGTTTTATTTAAAATAATTTCTGTAACTATTTAAAATACACAGCACTCCTGTTAGTTATCTCCCATGAGCAATGTTAATTTAGTAAGATAGAAAAGCTCACCATGAAATGGTTCTGCTACCACAAGGGAGGCAGCAGGATGTTACCAATGGGAGGACAGAAAACATCAATCCTTTCAGCTATTCATTAAGACTTGGACACTTAATCACCTTTCAAAATTAGGGGCCAATACCAGTTATGCAGAAGCATTTACAGGGATACAATTGGATAGGAAGGTTACCAAAGTTTCTAGTATTTAAGATGCACACAAAATAAAATAATTTAAATCATACAGAATCTGGAAAATTCTACAGAATCAAGCCCTGTTTTAAAGGAATTTAACAGGAACTGTTTAAAGCTTCTTAGCATTTCTCAAAATGTGAAGAATGTCTTGTCTATTGTACAAGAAGCCAGGTTCTAATATAAACAATACCAGCTATTACTTACTAGGTAGTACAAAGGACTGTGTAATGTTCCTCACTCCATTCAAAACCAGAAATGTCTTGAACTAAACCACTGGAAGTAAGCATGAGAATCCTTTAACTTCAGTCATTTACATCTAAGCTTGTTAAAAAATGCCTTTACAGTTAACATCAAAAAAGAGACACATACAAACTATGACCCATTTCATCCTAACACTGAAATGTTCACACCCCTGGGTACTTGATGCCAGCCTTTCCATGCATGCGACGTGCCAGTAAGCTGTTCTAGAACTACAGACACTGACTACACAAATACAAAGCCTGCCTTGAGGAAAAGCTATTGACTAAATCTGTTCTTTTTTTTAAACTAGGTCTCCACAAACACCTGATAATTCAGAAAACTTAATTGCACATTCCTTGTTTAATGGCTTTATATTCACATCAAAGAGGTTTCACCCACTAGAAAGAGTTTACTTTCTACACTGTTTGCAGAATTTATTTTTAGCATGCATTGTAGTGAATGACAGCAGCACATTCCAACAGAGTACTGCAGCTGTTTGGAGAATGAAAAACAACCAGTCTTTCCTCCACAACATGAAATTTCTAAACAAGATTAGTTTTACAAGTGTTTATTCTTTAAATTAATACAGCAACACTTAAACCTTTTTTAACAGTTATTTTAAGCAGCCTCCATCAAACAAGTTAATATTCTTTTCAGAGGAAAGCCATCGAGAAACTTCTGAAGACAATATCAATATTTTAATAGCTGCTTCCAAAAGCTTGCAACAACCTACTCCTGCTGTTTTGGCTGGCACAGGATTGTTTAGAAATTGTTCTGTGATCTGCACTGCTATGGGATAGGGCAAGTTTTAGCATACTCCAGCGAGTCTGGTCAGTCTGAAACGGAAATGAGAGGAAGCAAGATCAGTGGGGTGTTTTGGGGTGTTTGCTGCTTAAACTTTTATTTCCTAAGTGGATAATCAGATATATTTCAAACAATTTTTAGGCTATTAAAACCACTTTGTTAGGTGACCCATATCTCCTTTACAGAAAAAAGTCCAGGCATATGGTGCAAGTGTTATCAAAAGGACAAAAAAAAAAAAAAAAAAAAAAAATAGCCCTTCCTGTAACATATAAACATTGTTATAAGCCCATTAAGAAGGTAATCAATAAACAGGGTTGAACAGTCTCCAAGAAGTTTTAGAAAAAAAAAAGCTGATTGAACTGGATTTTAGATTCTTATATAAAATGTTGGAACTAGTTTGCACGTTGCACTGTTATTCATCAATTAAAAGAGATTATTTCCCCTTCGATCAACTAGGTACATTAGTCTACTTATTATTAGCAACAGAGTTAACATTCACATTGGAAAGTGCCCGCTGTATGCATAATCCTACTATCCTTAATATTGGTAGTATTTAGAGCTCAACACACTTCTCATTCTTCAGAGGTCACTAACGTGCACAAGCTCTGCAAGAGTAATGAAAATATTGTCTCCGGTGAACCTTGTAAGTTTTAATGATGTCAACAGAAGAAAGATGAAGCAGGATTTTCCTTCTACAGCATAAGAGTCATAGGAAACAAGAAGCAGGGGGAAGATACTGCTAAGCCATCAAATAGGAACAAAGTTGAATAAAATGCATTTTTTCAGAACTGAGATACTTTTTTTTTTTTTTAACCTTCACAGTATTTTGCTAACTTGCTTTTTTTTGTATTTTTCTACTTCCAGGAAATACAAAACCATTTAAAACTACTGCTTCACTGTTAATAGCTGCAGTTGTCTTTAAGAGTGATTGTAAGATCTATTAATAGATAAATTTGAAAAGTTACAACAGTAGAAAAGTTCCACAGATACCCTCATTTGTCCACCTTTCAGTAATACTTTCTGAAGAACATTTAGGTTTGGGCCAAAACTAGATTTCATCTTTTGTATCTGATTGGTCCAGCTTTGTATTTAATTAGAGGGACTTTTTTTCCTTTCTGTAAGAAAAATTAGGCTGTGAAAATTTATTTTTGAGTGGCGCAAGAAGCAACTACTGCAGTTCATTTAAAGGAGACAGTAGTTCTAAAAAACAAAGTATTTTGAAACAGCTAGTCTGAACCCAGTCTGAAAATCTATAAGAAACTTGTAATATGTTATGTATTTATGGCTCAATTTAGATTAACATCAAGGCAGCAATTATGAAGAGAATCCTCAACAGTCCAAGGCAGGGATGAAGATACCTGTTGACTTGAAAATACAGATATTACTGCTGGTCCTTACAGAAATTAGTCAAAGCAATTGCAACGTATGTTGAAACAGCAATAAGTTACACCCTCATCAACACTCTTGGTACCTTAACATAGCTATGTCAAAATTTTCAAGCCCCCCAGAGAAATGGCTATTCACTAGCAGATGCTACACGATGAATAAATGAAACGTTACAGCAACTGAAAAAGCAAGGCACACATAAGGAAGAAAAATGCATTGACACTATTACTCCAAAGATAAGTATTTGTCACTTTGTTTCAATAAAAGAAATGTTACAAAACTGGAAGATTGAATTAACTAATTAAAACAATTTTCACCAAAATCTGTAACTAGGACTGGTCTACCAATCATAATTTTCCTTAAGCAAAAAAAGTAACATTACATCTGTTGTTGACAAAGATCAAATCTTTTAGCCATGAAAGCTACTAAATTTAAGTATCTGGACATATGACTCTTGAGTACTTTAAAGTCCTGTTAAAGACAGTATTTGATGTTAGACATCAAGTGCTAAAATTTCTGCCCAGTTTGAGAATAAACATTCACATTTAACAAAAAAGCATATATAGGCCAGTTCTTCATAACACTTTTTCCAGGAATCACCTGACAACATCTGTTATAGGTACAAAGTCCCAGTCCTCCATCTTAAGCTACTGACATTTATATCTAGTATCTACTAGATATAGTATTGTCTTCAGAAAGCATCTGCCCAAAGCTGTAAATCTAGATGACAACATTTAAGAGTGTCAAAAGTGTCAATATATTATTCAGATACATACAGTCTCAGAATACTTCATGAACTCTGAAATGGTTATCTAAGGAGGGAACATCATCAGCAAAATGTAGTTGATCGTTTATTTCCACACCGAATTCTTCAAGTATCTGTACAAATTTCTCATGCTGCCTCCCAATCCATGACCTCATTGTATCAAACACTTGGTATGGTGTAACATGAGCATGAACTTCAATTCCTGTCTGTGCAAGTTCTTTCAGCACTTGAGGGCAAGTAACCCACGTGTTGCTTCTTCCTGAGTGACCACCATCCAACCAGTAAATTGCTTTTATGCTTTTTAAGAAGACATCTGTATTCTTGTCTTTTTTAGCTTCCTCCAGCTCATAAAGCAGCTGGTTCAAAACCACACAACCTTTACTGAAGCCAATCAAAGTAAATGACACTGCACCTACAGCAGACGGTATAATGAAGTTCATAGCAGAATTATTACAGCATTCACAATCTCTCTCTCTTTCTGTGGACGAGCAGTCATTTATTGTAGGAACAGACTGCGGCTGTGGTTTACAAGCAGCTATTTTTGCATCCTTGCTGACACCATGAACACTTTTCTGGGACAGCATAATATTCTGAGAGAGTCTGAATGCATTAACTAGCAATGCATGGAGATGCCTGAAAGCTCCAAAGTCAGTGCTGTGCTCTGGTGCTCCAAACATGTTGCTGGCAACAAAATTATCGTAACAACTGAATTTGTGCAGGTGCATTCGAGAACACTTCACAACCCAAACAAAGCTACTGGGGAACCGGCGAGCAAGTATGGTAGCAATATTTTCAAAACTCCACTGTTCCCACTGACAGTTTTCTGGGTGGCGAGACATGAAGTCATGATAGTTCTGAAAAATAAATACATTAAAAAGATGCATTACTACATTGTGAAAATACTTCAGCTCTGTCTAGTGTACTTATATTCATAAGTACAGGCAGTAACTGTCAGAGAAACATGCATTAAAGAGGCATGTGCTTGCTAGTCTTCCTAAAAAAGAATCATATTAAAGAAACTGGTATATTTATAATTACTTAATATACTTTATTATTTTTACCACACATTTGTAATACCTCCAAAATTGATGCAATAAAAATAAGCATGTATGAAGCATTCATGATTTTTGTTGACTTCACTACAAGAGAAGATTAAACTATTATTCAATTTATTATGATGCAGAATACATAATTTTACTGTACTATCTCCATATGTAGAAATGCTGATTATTTATTCCAGACAACACAGACTTAAAACTTGCTAACAAGTTTCCTATATTTTATATAGAAAAAAAAAGTGCTTCTCATTCAGTAGTACGGAATCTTTACTCCCCTTCTTCACATCCATATGGAGCAAGGATGAAAATAAATTAACCCCCAAATCATGAATGATCCTGACTCCTGAATTCATAATAGCAGAGAGTATTTACTAGTTTACTTTATTAAGCAATAATAAAGCCATACCTAGAAATGGTAATAAAAGAGGTTTTCTTAGGCCACTATAATCCTTAAAATTAAAATCCCCAAAGTTCTGCATCTTTATCTTACAGGAAAAAAAACAAAGGCTTTTCCCATAAAAAAGACACTACTCCTGCTCTGGAGAAGTGACTTTCGAGATGAGCTGCGACCCCGAGCATGTAAGGTTACAGAGGTGGACCACATGCTTAGGGAGATCGCTTCAGTCTCTTCAATTTCTTGTCAACCCAAGAGACAACACTTGTTCTCTTCAGGACACACTGAGGAAGCATCGGTGCCTGCCGAACACGCCCAGAGGGTGCCTGGGGTGTCCGTACACCTGCCCTGAGCGGCCGTGCCGTGCCGAGCCTGCCTCCGATGTCATCATCTTCTCTCCGCAGAGACTGTTTGATACGATTTCAGACTCCGCCGCCACCGCCAGAAACGTCGTTCCCGCCACGTCCACCCGGCGGTCCG